TGCAAATTTCGCTGCTCCAAAAATGGCTCCAAATCAGCAGACCTCGATAGCATCACTGTCTCTGATAATTTATACTTTCTGTTAATAGAAACAAGATTCAATTTTTGGTTGGCCCTCTATTGTTTCAATGTATTTAGAAGCCTCTTAATTCAAACTCCATCATTCAGTGAATTCATACTTTTTGCTGGTCTATACCAGAAATTATCTGCTGCTTTCCTACTACTGTTTAAAAATTTGTGTGCTTATATAATCCTAAGAGTTAAAAAATGAAAAATAAGCACTTGAGGCTTTCAAGGAAAAGGCTTTGCAAGTAAACAAATGTTTGAATGAAGCACATGCATGGTAAATTGTGATGCTTCTCAACTCGTATAGAGAGCATTGAGCTGAAGGCACATACCTATAACAATGAAGCAGTTCGCAATTTTCAATTTCTTTATAAGATCTGATCAGTAGTAATTGGCCAATGAACTTGTGAACCTTACACCTCTGCTTTCTGTTCACTGTGTGCAGTTAGGGCTTAAGAACCCTTCAAAAATTTTAAATGTGATAAGTTCGATGCCTAATCATAATTTGTGGTAGCACCTCTCCCAGAGAGATAACTCTTGGTCAGGTGAGGAGAAGATCGAATAATTCAAACTTCTTGATAATTCAAACAAAATTCAGAGGTCCCTTTTTTGAATTAGTGAGAATCAACTGTGATTCAATTGCACAGGCAGGGTATCTGGGCACCCTTAAAATTGCAAACATCGTTCCTGTTATAAGGAAGGTGATTGGCTAACCCTTCAAATTATAGACCAATCTCTGTGTTGAGCACAAGTAAGAATATTTTTGAAAAGCTTATTTCCTATCGGATGAAAATACTTCTTGATAAGTACAATGTGCTCTGCCACCAGCTACCTGGCATTAGATTACATTTCTCAACAGGAACCGCTGTCATCACCTTATCACAAAAGATATATATGGTCTTAGATCTCGACAAACTAGTAGCTGCCATGTTTCTAGATTAAAAAAAGAATAGCCTTCGACACAATGGATCGTTGTATATTGTTGGACAAACCTAAACATTGTGGATTTCATGGTAAAGTCTTTGATTTTTATCAAGGTACATGGAAGATCGATTTCAGGTCGCGTCAATAATCTGACATCTTGAAGACAAAATATCATTACTGGAGTTCCACAAGGCTCTGTACTAGGTCCTCTTCTTTTTTAGGGGCAAAGTTTCTTAAGCCATGGGTCACGCGTCCACGATGTATGTATGTATGTATGTATGTATGTATGTATGTATGTATGTATGTATGCATGTATGTATGTATGTATGTATGTAGTAGTAGTAGTAGTAGTAGTAGCAGTAGCAGTAGCAGTAGCAGTAGTAGTAGTAGTAGTAGTAGTAGTAGTAGTAGTAGTAGTAGTAGTAGTAGTAGTAGTAGTAGTAGTAGTAGTAGTAGTAGGAGGAGGAGGAGGAGGAGGAGGAGGAGGAGAAGGTAGCCACCTCCACGGCCAGATTAGAGGAGCAGCACGTGCTCACTCCTTTTTATTGAAAAGGAAAGTTGCGCATAATAATCATAAATAAGATAGTTGTTTCTAGTGAAATAACCTACAGAGACGAGTATTGGTGACTTAATCTCCAGAAATATTTGCCTTGAATTTGATGCTTACAAAAAACGAGTAATAGAAGGACGAATTTGAGCACTATCTGACCAGAAAAGGTTGCCACGATAAACTCGCTATTGATAAATTTGATAAACTCGTTTTTGCAAGGTTTAGCGAGGGCTGAGCCACAATGCCATGAAGTGACGGCGATGAAAGGTGGGAACTAGACTTGAAGCGTAGGCCATAAGAGAGTGCGCACGTGCTGCTCCTCTAGTCCGGCTGTGCCACTTCTCATTTAGTCTTTGGAATATCTGTTGGATGGCGGTAGTTCTGATGAATATATGATGAAAAGATGCGAGATACGTGGAGTCTTCACTAGACGGACAAACGCACAGAAGGGCGGACGCACGGAGGCATGAACAGTCGTCACCGTTTGCCTTTGAACAGTCGTCACCTTTGCAATCGTCACCGTTTTCTTATTATGACAAATGATATGGATCATATTGGTCATCAGCTACGTGCATGCTTTGTCATTGCACTCTGCGTAGTGTTTAGTGTTAGTGAAGCATGCACGGGTAATCATCGGTGACTTCATCCCATAGGTCACTTGCGTCGCATTTTTCGCTATCCTAACATTCCTTTCATGCTGCTTCTGGAGCTCCTCTTGAACCTCAATCACCAACCAAAAGGCTAGATAACAGTCGTGCAAAAAGCATGCTGGTAAAGATGCCAAACGAAAACAATGGCCACAGGGCAAAGCCTGATGTGAAAAACAAACACTAGGCAATGACGATAACGATGGGGTTATTGCATATTCGAATAGGGCAAACAAATAGAAAAGTATAAGTGCATTCTGATCATGATGAAAGTGGCAAGTACGAAGTGGCATACACATCTTGAAAGGGGTTTTTGAAGAAGCTGTTAATCTGAAAAAATCGTTAATCTGAGGTTTGCTATGATGAGATTTCACTGTAGTAGATACCACAACTTTACACATACATATGAAGAACATTCCGTTAGAACAGACAGGCTTTTACAATACCTCGAAGTGGATTTTGACAAACACCTTCAATGAAACATCACATTAACAGTGTATGCTCTAAATGAGCGTCTGGTTGTTACGGTTTAACATCAGGATTAACATGAGTACTTAGATATACCAATATTGCCACCTATGCATTTTGCTTTTATTGAAAGTCACCTGAGATATTGTGTCGATTCGTGGGATCGTGCATATAAAACCTTATTAAATCTGGTTATCAAACTCCAAAAACATGCAATTAGAATTACCTCTCACTCTAGGTACTATGATCACACGGCCCCATTGTTCAGCCAATATGACATATTAACTTTTGAAAGCTTGTGACAGCTGAGTTTATCAATGTGCATTTATAAGGTCATGAGATTAAATCATCCACTCAGCTCATCCATGTTTTTTTCATCCTCGCGCTTTACTAGAAGTGTAACTGCGGGCCACTTTAATTTTGCTCCACGTAACAATGTATACGGAGAATGTATGCTAAAGTTCACAGGAATAAAGACCTGAAACGCACTCCGAACGGTAATCAATAATACGACGAACTTCCCTAAAGCCCTGAAACAATATTTTCTTTTTTGGTTACTGACAGAGTCAATTATAGAAGCTTTGTTATCATTGTACAAGGTTGTGAAATATATACATATATGGTCACTGCTCTTTCTGTGCACTTATTGACACATGATAGTGTTGCGTTACTGGGTACCATATGATCAAATTTCAGTCATTGATGTCACAGTGTACGTATTTTGTAGGTCACCTATAGTCATTTTTGCCTACTAATTTGAGTGCAATAGTTTTTTGTACTGCATAGTTTTTTGATCAGTGGCACCGTATCGTTTCATTCTATCTGTATGTAGCCCGTATACATTGTTCTTAGGTACTTTAATGTATATTGCTTGTTGGTTTAATTGATTAAATATACTATTAATTTCATCAAACAATTTTTTATTCCTTATATATTGTAAATAATGCAACTGCTTTTTTCATGTTTGTCATGCCATGCATATCATGATTATCGTGTTTGGACGTGTCATTTATCATCTATTCGCGTCACGTGATACCAAATCTAAAGCTAGCGAAACTGGAACGAGCACGCGTTGAGCATAGCATGTAGTCATGTTTTACATGACATGCATGTCATGGTTATCACATTTAGATGTGTCATTGGATTTAATGATTTAATATGTGTGGTTTAACGTTCCAAACCAAGTTAAGATTATAAGGGGCTCCGGAAATTTCGACCACCTGGGGTTCTTAAACGTGCACTCAAATCTGAGCACGTGGGTCTGCAGCATTTTCGCCTCCGCGGAAAGTGCAGCCTCCGCAGCCGGGGTTCGATCCTGCGACCTGCGGCTCAACAGCCGAGTACTTTCCACTAGACCAATGCGACAGGGCTTAGACGTCTCATTTACTTTCATTATTCATTTACGTTTGTAATACCATATTTGATATATGTGAAACTAGCAAAATGGCCACGAGCGTATCATGAGTGTGGTATGTTTTCATGTTCTTGCATGACATGCATATCATGATTATCATGTTTGCACAAGTCATACACATTTGTCATTCATTCACGTCACGCAACACCAAATGTTGTATATGTGAAACTAGCGAAACGGTCACGAGTGCACTATGAGTGTTTTACACGACATGCATGTCATGATTATCATGTTTGGACGTGCCAATTACCTTCATCGTTCATTCGCAACCCCTAATACCAAATTCGGCATATGTGAAGCCAGCTAGCGTAACGACCGTGAGCGCACAATGTCATAGTTATCACGTGAGGGCCTGTCACTTATGGTCGCCATGCAGTCATGTCATACCATACCAGTTTTGCAATATGTCATGTGAACGAAACCACTGTTAGAGCAGCAAGATCATTAAATGTAAATCATGACATTCATGACATACATGTCACGATTTTCGTGTTATGAGTACTCATTTATGGCGTACCAATTTCGGTATATATACGATTATCAAAACGGCCAGGAGAGCTAAAGGTCGTAGGCGGTTGGATGGATAGATAAATGAAGGCGGGCAGGTAGGGTTGAAGTCGGCAGCCTCGGCAGTCTCTTCGATGAATATGCGTGCCCTGAAGCCAAAGTCTTTTAGACAATATTCTTTGTTGAGCACATCAACGCAAAGCTTTGGGTTCGGCTGTCCATCTGTACAAGTCTACCCCAAAGTTCACTATGAAATGCATTGCATTCAAAACAGTGCCAGAAAGAGACTGTGTATTCTTTATCGTTAATGCGGGATTTGATGTGTAATATGTGTTTGCATCATTTGGCACTTTACCCCTTCTGTGAGATTTTTTTATACTAAGCTCTTCTGTGATGATGAATCTGAGCTCCTGTTTTGTGCGCAGGGCTCGTCACAATGATCATCATTCGCCAGTGAAGAAGGGCCCAGACGAGGTCCTCCCCAGCAGCTTTGTAAATTGCTGTGTGGCTTTGAGGCCTTCCTGTTTTTAATAAAGTGTGCAAGGACTGTTTTGTCATAATTCCTGCTCACAGTCGCCGACAGCTGTGCCGCGAGTGATTACTTACAGGATTCAAGGAAGTGTAAACTGCTGGCTTCTTATTCTTACACATGGACACTGCAGGTGCATTTGTACTGTTGCATCGGTGCCGTACCTTTGTAATCAGCTGACGACTCGTACGTGTTGTGTTATCGTCACAGTTTGCTTTCAAGTCAGTCCCGATTGCTGCATTTCGATGCAGGGAAGATGCTGGAGGTTCGTGTGCTTAGATTTGGGTGCTCATCAAAGAACCCCAGTTCATCAAAATTTCCAGCGTCCTCCGCTACGGCGCCTGTTATACCATTATCGTGGTTCCGAGAACCGGCGAATAATTGTTCATGGATTCATGTCGCTGACATTACTAATCTTGTTTCTCTCACTGCTGTGATCGCGTTATGGGGCATTAGGACAGGAAATTTTCAAGTGGCATTTTTTTACGTCTAATAAGAGGCCAAGCTCTTGAGAGCCTAAAAAATGGGCTGGTAAGCATGTCTGTGCACTCTGAAAAATTTATTGCTAATCATGTTTTCAATGACTATACTGTAACAACTTTCTGACAACTTTCTGTGGCAGCACAGCCAAGGCTACGACGCCCAAGCACGCCCTTTTTTACTGTGCTTCTGCATGTAGTCCACAAATGCTAACTTTTGTATACTGCGCGGCATATTGGAAAATATAAAAAGAAAAGATGTAACTATTATGTTAGAGATTGTTGGCATTATTATTAGAAAGGGTCACCCGTGCAGGTTTCTCGTTCGTTGCTGTTTCTAGTTTTCTGGTTTTCTCGTGCCATTTCACCTTTTCCCTGCCCCGGTAAATAATGATGGCGCCGCTCGGCTGCAGCAAGTTCACATCGAAGCTGTGAGCGAGCGTGAGGGCTTGTTCACCAGGTCACCTGTATTCATTGAGCAGGAAGAAAGTAAGACAGCGGTGCGTTATAAAATATTTTGTTCGCTGCGTATGCAATTCCAAGAATTTGTGTGCGAGTGATATTATCAGCGAAAGTGGGATTCGAGCCGCTACAGCCACCTTGAAAGTGACACTGGCAACCTGCCAGTCTTCAGCAACGCCAGCTGCTTGGAAGAAAAAGTGCGATTGGAAAGCGTATCGAATAAGCCTTCTTTTAAAATTGAGTTGCATATGTGTTCGGTGTTTCGGCTGCCTAATATTGTTGATACTGTAGTGGGGAATTCGCAAGGCAATGACTAGTGGGACCATCGCTGAGTGCCAAGCAGGAGCGGGTGCACGAGCCGTGGCCTCGTAGTTGAGTGTCCGCTTCGGCTGCGGGAGGTCGTGGGTTCAAACCCGCGTTACTGCCGGTCACCCACCGGTTTTCCGAATGGGCACAGGCGTCCCCCGGCCCGACACTCGGCTTCTTCAGGGGTGAAACGTCTGGTAAAGGCAGCCTACGCCATTCAAATCCCGTCAAAACGTGTGAGCAACCACTGACCTGCAAAGGGAGGAAGAGCTGATGAGTAAAAAGTCGCTCAGTTAAATCACTACGACGTGCCGCGCTCAGTCGCCGCTGTTTACAAAAAAAACCTCGAGAGACTGGTGTTCTACACCGCGTACAAAACTCACTACCGTGCTCTGTTGGTGGTAATCGATGGGTGATTGTGGCTGCCGACCATCTGACAAGGTATGCCGAAACGGCAGCGCTACCTTCGGCTGGTGCTCGTGACGTTGCAACCTTCATCTTGCATCGGTTTGTTCTTCGTCATGGTGCACCACGGGAACTTCTGAGTGACATAGGTCATGTATTTTTGTCCGAAGTTCTGCAGCAGCTCCTACATTCATACCGTACGGTACACCGCACATCAGCAGCCTACCACCCTCAGACGAATGGCCTAACGGAACGTTTGAACAGAACCCTCGGAGACATGCTCGCTATGTATATTGATTCCGACCACTCCAACTGGGACGTTGTTCTTCCTTTCGTGACATACTGCCTACAATACGGCGATTCAATCAACAACGGGCTTTTCTCCATTTTTTTTTTATGTGGTCGTGACCCATGCAACACACTCGACACAATTCTTCCATACACTCCTGATGCCTCTGAGTTCAGGCCAGTTTCTGAAATGGCCGAACATGCCGAAGAGTGTCGTCAGCATGCACGGTCCTTCACAGCCGATAACCAAGCCCTCCAAAAAGATCGCCACGACCATGATCTTGTTCAGAATACCTTCCCCGTCGGTTCTCTCGTGTGGCTCCAACTGACTTTCCACTCTCCTCGACTGACTCCCAAGTTTGCACCGAAGTATACGGGCCCTTACCGCGTCATACAGCACCCTTCTTCTGTCACCTATGTGATTGAACCGCTCAAGCCGTCCACGGACAAGCGCCGCCTTGGTCGTGAGACGGTCCACGTCAGTCGCCTCAAGCCCTGTTGCGACCCTCCTGTCCTCTCGTCACCTTGAGTCGCCAGGATGGCTCGTCTTCGTCGCCGGGGCATCTTAGTGGGGAATTCGCAAGGCAATGACTAGTGGGACCATCGCTGAGTGCGAAGCGCGAGCGGGTGCACGAGCTGTAGACGCTGGACTGCCCGAGCCTTTGTTTCCGTACCGTACCGGCTGTCTGCATATTACCTGGCTTCGCTAATAAACCCCCTTGCAATACGATAACGCTGAGGATCGCGTGCTGTAAAATCGCTCCTCTCGGCGTCTATGGAGGGAGTCATTCCTTGCGCTTTGCCTGGGTAACAGACGCGTTGAGTTTAGTTTATTTTATCACGTAGGGTTGTACAGTAAGTGTCTGGGACAGGGGGAAAAAGCTGTATAAAACAGCTTGACAAAGTCCCATATCCCCATGGCTACTGTGGCAACAAAACGGCATAAGCAAAGTAAACACAGGACAGTTTAAACCAGCAATGCATATGCTTTGCATCGGAGCAAGAGGATAAACTTATAAAAACCAGAAACGCACGTGTTATGCATTGAAAGAAAGAAGTAATCAAGCAGAAAATGATACTACACACAAACTAATAAAGCATATTTAAAATAGAAATTGTAGCATACAAACATTTTCACAATTTCTTCTTAATTTATTAAGTGTATTCGGCAAGCAATAACGCATTGTCTGAAAACCATAATTTTTGCGCGGTCTGGGCACATGTCAGTATTCAGAGTGTTGGTTTAGGCGCGTCAAAAGATTTAATTGCAGGTTAGCTAAACTAAGTATATAGCCTAACCTTTTATGGTATCAGATCTAAAAGAGACTGCTAAAGAATATCTGTAAAGCAGGTTTAATTTGAATATTTTATATTTAGCGAATAATTGTGAAGTATGGGCAATAAACGGGAGGTTAGCAAGAGATCGTAAAGCTTTTTTCTGTGAGATAAGGTTACTAATAGATTGCTTTGTTACATTACCCCAAATTATGTTCATGGATATTACCTTGTTGACTGTGCAAAAACAGCATTCTTGGCAGAGTAAGGGAGCGTTTCAGCCATATAGATTTACGAACGTCAAACGCCCGCTCATAACCAATTGGTGCCCAGATTTATGCTTCCCATCGATGCCTTCGCGTCCCCTGAAAAAATAACGTGAGCGACTGCAGAAAGTTCTTGCCTCTCTAAAAGAAGAAAAACAATGATGCCGACCAAGCATGCACTGGAATTTAGGAAATAGTTTCTTGGCTTTGCGTTGTTCCAGTCGCCCAATCCTCCGTGCCATTTTTTTTTTCTGAAATAAATCTCGCGCTTCAAAGAAGCTTCGTGTTCTTTCCCTTAAAAAATGAACATAGTATAGAGATAGTGGCGATGGCGTAGTGGTTAGACCACCACGCATGCAAGAGGTCCGTGGTTCGAATCCCGGTGCCGCGCAGCTCCCCACCGGATAAAAAATCCGCATGGCGATGGAACTGCATTAAGAGGCCTGGGGTGCGGCCTCACCGGTGACCACCGCCGGCAACGCACTCCCTCACCAGAGAAGGATTGTCCACCCTGGTGCAGTATCTGGCCACTACCTCCCACATGCATACGTCAATTAACTCACGGCCAAGACGCTTCCCCGAACCTCGACGAGTCTGCCCACGAGGCCGCGCGCGCGCTAACCGACCGCGCCGGTTCCGGGCAATGATTCGGGGTCAACGGGGTTGCGGATTACAGGGATGAGCCTGCCACGTACAACGAAATAATAAAACATTTCTACCTCGCGCCAAAAACTATATCCACTCCCTCATCCAAATCTTAATAGGCCACAGGCCCTTACGCTCAGACTACTGCAGACCGACACGTACCCTAACCTGAGATCCCTTCACGCTGATGTGATCTCTTCCTGAGGTGTTCCCCAGTCACGCTTGCCCCGCATGTGGGGATGTATTCACGCTGGCGCACATGCTCTCGGAGTGCAAGGCAATGTACACTAACCCCAACACTACATCGGTCAGGTGGGAGGCGGCCCTACGCAGCTCCCTCCTGGCCGACAACTTTGGGTCGTCCAGCAGGCCTGTGGAGTGGCCGATAGGCTTGGCCTAACGGTCCCAACGTGTGCGTCGTCCACTGCGCGCGCCTTGCAGGGCCACGATAATAAAGTTTCGCAACCAACCTTATTCCCCAGCAGCTGCGAAGCAACTGACCACGGCGGCGGTCAGATCTGCAACGAAGCAGTGGGTGCTACGAATCTCTGGATCCGGACAGGCCGCCATTCGAACTTGGCAACGTTTAACGCTAGAACCTTAGCTAGTGAGGCGAGTCTAGCTGCACATAATATTTATTTCCTCCCAAATAAATGCAAGATTTATTGCATGGCGGTCGTGCGAAGAAGTACATGTTGTATGCGCTTGCGAAACCAATATCGCACGAAAACATACTTGGTGTAGTAACACATGTTCAGAAGCTCCGCCCCCGTAGCTTTGGCTGTGCTACAGTGTACTAAAAGGGGACAGTGGAGTGAATGAGGTGCCCGCGCCGCATCTCGGTTGATTCTCCAGCGGGTGACAGTAACGGTGGCGCTGTTGTCCCATGGTACT